CTGGATTGCTTAGCTATATGGATTGACGGGGTTTTGATGAAATATTGGGGTTCAGTGAATGGGATCCTTTGGTTACCTCTGAGAAAAGTTTTGGTAGAGTTCCCCTTTCAGCAGTATATGGTGAATTTACCAAGGTCTAGAAGATGGTTACACAGACACAAGCCGGTGAAGGTTAAATTCAGAAGGGCAGGTTTATTAGAGAAAGAGAGGAGAAGAAGTTGCCTGCACAGAACCAGGCATGGAGAGATCTGTGCTTAAAAGACATAGAATTGGTCTGCTATAGTGTTCCTTTTCCAGGGAGGGTTCATTCCTTTGTAAAATATTTATCTATTGTTAAATTAAGCATGTCTAGGGTATGATTGGGTTAATCTGTAAGGACTGGTGATTCTCTGGTTAATCTGTAAGGACTGGTGGTCCTCAAGATTTTTTCTGCAGTAATTATTTGTAATGGCTGACTATCCCCATATCCCTATCTCCTGGCCTTGCTTAAGGATTTTTTTTATATCTACAGCTGGTTTAATGAAAATGATAATCATTTCTAACCCCATCTTCAGTTCCTGGTTTGTGACTATGGCTCCATCCCAAATTTTCTATTCTGGGCCTCCACCTGAACTGTTGGGAAAGGAAGGGAGGTGGGAAGAAACCACAAAATAAAAATAAACTCATTGAATTCAACAGAGAAGAAAGGAGAATCCATGTTCTAATGATTCTGTACCCTGGATCCAGCCATACCTGAAGCTACATATTCACAGAATTTTCAATGATTAAGGTACATATATTCCTTTTCTAAAATCAATTTGTGCTTGAATTTTTGACACTTGTAAAAAAAAGTACACTGTATTATTGCACAAAAGAATTCCACTTATTACATAGAACAAAACATCTTAAAATCCTTTTACCTGTTTCTCAGTATCGCTGTGTCATTCAGATAGTAGCTGTATTAAATTCCTAATCTCATTCTCTCAAATCTCTTAGAAACTTTCTCTCCTAAACTCAGCTCATTCTACATCTTCACTTTTCTTACTCACATTCTGAAAACTTTTCCTACTCCTTTCTCCCTCACTCTCTCCAAGAGAAACATAAAATCCAATAGAGCTTTATAGATCAGTAGAGCCTTCTGAGCGCCCTTTTCCTTCTGTACCTCTACTACTTACCTGTATCAGCAAAATTAACACTCAAGCTGCTTTGTGAAAAACAAAGGATCCTTCCTCTTAGAAAGGGTGAAAGACTGAAAACACAGGGTCTCCCTGGTGGCCAAGGGATTAAAGTCTCAGTGTTCTCAAGCTGGTGGCCAGCCACTGCAACCTTAGTTAGATCCCTGGCCAGGGAGCTAACCCACATTGAGCTGTAGACCTCTCCTGTCTCACCTGCTGCTCCCCTCAGCAGTGTATTTCAGTAGATTCACCTATTCTGCTCCCCACTCTGACTCTGGTGAATCCTTTCACATGCACACACACACACACACACACACACACACACACACATCCTCTGGCCTGCACCACGGTTCTTGTATACATAAATTAAAAAAATCTTTTAAAAAAATACAGAAAATACACATTAAATTTTCTGTTTTGGTCTCATTTGTATTCAGTACAAATAATGTGCTTGCTTAGACATTAATTCTGTTTGCAAACACCTACTCCTGGGGTTCCCTTTGGGTAAATTTTGATAAGATAGTGCTTCAGGATTTTGTTTTATTGTGTGTGTTTTGTTTTGTTTTTTAAGGATATGGGGAATAGGGAAAGATTAAACTAGTTAAACCAGTTTGGTTGTTTTTACAAGCCAGAGAAAAGGTCAGGCCCTGGATTTAGACCAAGCTGATTCACAGTGCTGGGGCAATTTAATAACCGCTACTCAGTCTATTGCTTTTTATTTCCCATTTCTTTGGAAATATTATTTGGGTTTTCTACAGCAACACAAGGAAACTCTCATTGACAGTTGTCTCACTCAGCAGCTTCTTCATAAACACATTTTTCAGACACTGTGTCCAAGACTCTTTTAAGTGTCCTAAGAATATTCTCATTCAAAAGCAGCCTACCTGTGATGGTTGCTCCATGAATGTAGATTGTTTCTGCACATCAGAATGTGTCCAAAAGTTCTACTATGTATGAAACTAAGATGATCCCATGTCTCTTTGTGAACATGTAGCTTATGGATAGTATGAATTCCATTTTTAAGTCTACTCAAACTGTCTTTGGTGTCCTCAGGGTGGGGAACCCAGCAGGGAGACCATCTAGGATATTGGCTACCTGGAGTCCAGGGAACTGTCAAAATGATTAGGAGACATTCCACCTTTTTTTTAATATTAATTTTTTAAAGTTTTTTACATTATTGTTCATTTTTAAACAATATTTGCTTCCCCCTGCCACTCAGGTGTAGTTTCCTTCACCAATGCACCCGTGCACACTCACCACAGTCCCCAGTGCTTCTCCTTCCCTCCCTCTGATCCCTCTCCCTCCTCCTCCCCTGCAGGATGTCTCTGGTTTATAATTGTCCATTTTTGCTTTGTCGTGTTTTGTACTGTTATTGCTTTTTTTCACAGTGATGTCTTATTTGGTTCCCCTATATTCCTACTATAAGTGAAACCATCTGATATTTTTCCTTTTCCTTCTGGCTTATTTCACTGAGCATAATTCCTTCTAGTTCCATCCACATTGCTGCGAATGGCATGAGTTTATCTTGTTCGATTGCTGAATAATATTCCATTGTGTATATATACCACATCTTCTTGATCCAGTCATCTATTTTTAGGCATTTGGGTTGTTTCCTGGTTTTACCTATTGTAAATAGTGCTGCAATAAACATTGGTATACAGGTGTTCTTTTTCTTTCTTTTTTTTTTTTTTTTGTGGGACCCTCACCATCGGTGGGGAAATAACCAGCGCTGCAGAGGCTGCTGGCAGCCTCGCAGCCCAGCACTCAACCACTGCGCCACCAGGGGAGGCCCCAGGTGTTCTTTTGAATCAATGTTTTTGTGTCTTTTGGGTAGGCCCATAGGAGTGGAATTGCCAGGTCATATGGTAGCTCCATTTTTTGTAGACTGAGGAAAGACAGCTTTCCATAATGGTTCCAGCAATGTAGGAGAGTTCCTTTTTCACCATATCCTCGCCAACATTTGTTGTTGCTTGTTTTTTTTATATGTGCTATTCTTACTGGTGTAAGGTGGTATCTCAATGTGGTTTTTTCCAAAGAAATAGAGCAAATGCCAATGAAATTCATATGGAACCATGAATAGCCAAAGCCCTACAGATGAGAACAAAGGAGAAAGGAGGTATCACACTTCTCAACTTCAAGCTATACTACAAAGCCTAATAATTAAAGCAGTTTGGTATTGTAACAAAAACAGACACTCAGACCAATGGAACCGAATAGAGAGCCCAGAAATAAAACCACACTTATATGGACAACTGATCTTTGACAAAAGAGCAAAGAATATACAATGGAATATGGACAGTTTGTTCAATAAATGGTGCTGGGAAAAGTGGACCTCCACATGCAAAAAAATGAAACTAGACCACTACCTTTCACTGTGCACAAAAATCAACTCAAAATGGATAAAGAACTGGACATAAGACCTGGAACCATAAAATATATAGAAGAAAATATAGGTAAAACACTACAAGACATACATCGCAATAACATCTTAAGGACTCATCACCCAAAGCAAAGAAAGTCAAGGAAAAGAGACATTCCACCTTTTAAAAGCCCCATCTTCTTTTTTTTTTATACTACACCTCCCACTCCTTGAATCTTCCCAACTGCAACAAAGTATACTCTATCACAGTGTGCTGGAATGGTAGGTAGGAAAAAGATGGCACATCCAGGGAAGAGTTGAGAATTTAATGAAGGGGCTATTTTAAAAGATGTGGTCGGGGTTAAAAGAAATCTTTGGAAGCCATTACCAGCCCCAGCCTCTGACTGAGCAAAAGCAGTGGGTTGCAACCAGAACAGAAACTGAACAAAGTGGGGAAGGGGAGAGTATAGTAGGTATGGTAGAGAGGGTGTACTCCACAGTGCTGGAGAAGTGGCTTTCAGATTAAAAAAAAAAAAAATATATATATATAAATATAAATATATAAAACCATTGCTAATGGAATGGCGCCGCTCTGGGGTACCTGTAAGGGGCGGTTCTGTGCTCCGGCAAATGCCTCCTGCGGAAGGTCAAGTGAAAGACGAGATACTTGACGTAGCGCATGAGGATCTGCCCTGGTGGAGAGTGGATTGAAGCACGTAGGAATAACCAGCGGTCACATCCTATCTTTTCCCACAGCTAGTATTTTGGTTCAGGCCTCACTATTTCTTGCCTGCCCTCTTGACTCATCTAGTCCAGCCAGGTCTGCTTCTGAGGGACTGTGCTCTCTCGGCAGGGGCCTGGGTACATAGACTGGACTCCAAGAACCAGCTCCGCGGTGTCAAGACCTTCCCTCAGAGACCTTATGGCTAAACTGCCAGGCGAACTTGAGGATTCCCTAAGACCTTTTTGGACCGCGATTTACCTATGGTCGACGCATTTTTAAATATCACAGAATCAAGGCGACTTTTAAACGCAATCACAGGGCGTGGGAGGCGGAGGGTGGGGTGAGAGGTGGGAGAGGCGTAGGGTGGCGGCCTCCCTGCCCCCTTCCTGAAGACCACGTCACCGGGTCTCACGGGCGACCGCTTCGAGCCGGCTCTCTCCAAGGGCGTAGGCTAAAGCACCCTCCTTCAGCACCCCGACCCCCGCGCAGGCAGATTCTTGGCCTTAGACCCGCTCATCCAGCGGGTAGGGGAAGTCCCCCATCCTGGCACAAATCCGGGGCGCCCCTCGCGGTCTCTGACTCGGGCGCCGGCCAGGAGGGGCAGCGGAGAGCGCAGGCGCACGGTCCTCGCGGGCAGCCCCCTCCCCGCCGCGGCTGGCAGACGCAGCGGCCCCCGCGGAGGGTTTCTCCGCGAACCGCGCGGTGCCCCCCGGGGCTCAGAGGCTGGACGAGGGACGCAGCAGCTCGCAGCCCGGCCGCGACGCGGGGCGCTTCTTCCTCGCGGCCACACACAGGTAACTGGGCCCGGGAGTCGGTCGGGAATGTGGGGCTGGGGCGCTGAGCCCCGCCCGGTGTCCCCACCACGAAAGAGTGTGAGCGAGCGCCCACCCTAACGCCTTTAGCCGTGGCACCTGAGGGGCAGCGCCCCTCATTGAATTGGGGCAGGCGGAAAGAGAAATGCCCCACCCCTTCACAAGCCTCTGGGGACTGTTCGAGTTCCGAAAGGCCGCGAGGGCCCCCGCTTCCCGCTCTGCTCTCTTGGACAACCGGGACACGGTGTCGGTAGGGTCAGGATCAGCCCCTCCCTCCGACCCCCGTTTTCTGACACCCTCCCACGTCTGGGCCCTTCTCCAGCCTGTGACGAGGGTCTTTTGCTTTCCTCTCCCCAGAAGCCCATCCAAACAAAGGTGCGTCCCTGTGGCGTCATGGGATCAATTTCAAACACAAACTTTAAGACGCACTGGGTGGTTTCAGAGATGTGGTCAAGTATCTCCCATCACTCTCGTCTCATGTCTTTAGCTCTTGAACGTCAGTCTCCACGGGCTGAGATGCTCGTGGAGGGTTAGCGATTTGCAGAAATCTTTTCCGAGAGGCTGGGACTAGGAGGAAGACACGAGCGACGCCGGAGCTCGGAGGCTGGAGGAGCAGGGCCAGGACCCTGAGTCTCCCGCAGCTCCGGAGAGGAACCGCGAAACCTCCCCGACCGGCCTCTGGGGACTGTATCATTTCTACGCCACGTGCGCTCGTTTGTCCTCTTTTGAGAGGAGGTGGGAGGAAGGGTCGCGCCGGTGGGCAGGAAAGAGACTCCGGCTGGGGCGAATGAGGGCGCTGCGCTTGCTCGTGTCTCTGACCAGGCTTTTTCTGGGCTGGGGAGGGGCCGGGCTGAAAGCCGACGTCCGCGGGATAAGTGAAGGCCGGAAGGCGGTGACGCACGGGGCGGCGAGGACGAGGGGTGGCTGGGAGGACCGGTCTCTTCTGGCAATTGCGTGCGATTTGCTCTCTTTGCAGTTGTCCGTGTCCGTGGTGCTGAAATACCTCACTCGGCTTTGGCCGACTTCCCACGTCAGGTAGAAGCCTGCCTCGTTCTACTACTCTGCGTCTTTGCTAGACATAGCCCACCTCCAAGACAGGTGGCCATAGCAGAGTCGGCCTAACACTGAAACCCTTCGCAAAGGGGCTGGTGTTGGTTTCCTGAAGACAGCATGAAGGCCACTGTGGCTCGCCTTGGTGGTGCAGATAAAGCATATGCATAAGAGTTGATTACCTACAAGCTCACAGTGAGCACAATTAAACATGAACTCTCACGTATGCACACAAATATAGATGTAAATACATTCATCTATTTTCAGAGCCATCATCTGCTACAAGTTGCACTTTTTCGACACCTCCAATGTTTCTGAACTCTGAAGAACGATTAATTTTCATAATCGTCCTTCCAAAGTCACAGAATCTATGAATTAAATTGTTTGGTATTTTGCTGAGCAATTTAGTATTTATACATATTTTTGTGCCATAACAAAAATAGTCTAGAGAGATATAAATTGATATTGGCACAAATAAGATGTTCATAAAGGAATTTTAAACAAAAATGATTAATAAAAATTTAATACACAACAGTATCTAGTTAATCTTATGGAAAGTCATAATTTGAAGAAAATATAACTAGGATGTATCATAATGCTGGCAATATCAAATATGGTTATAGTATATGATTTGTGAACTCCTTAATGATTATGTGTGTATTTTTCAAGATATTGAAATATATACATATATATACACACATATATATATATACACATATATATGGTTTTCTCTCAGGAAAAGTATGCTGATTGTAAGAAATTTAGGTAATAGGAGCTCAATCCCCGCCTGCCAGGGAGCTACCCACATAGGACAGCAGATCTCTCCTGTCTCACCCACTGCTCCCCTCAGCAGTGTATTTTCGTAGATCTGCCTGTTTTGCTCCCCACTCTGTCTCTGGTGAATCCTCTCACCCCCGCCCCCGCACCTCTGGCCTACACCCCAGTTCTTGTATGCATAAATAAATAAGTCTTCAAAAAAATAGAATAGCCAAATAGGAATAATTTTATTATTTTTAAGAGTAAATTTAAAAATATAGCTGATAGTAAAAATAAAAAAAGGAAACAACAGCAGAGTAGAAAATAAAATCCTCTAGTAAGCTTTTCTCCACAGGTAATTATGAATATTAGTTTGGAATAAATATTTCCAGATTATTAAATTCATCAAGGATGCATGACATCAAATGTAAGATGTTACCAATTATAAGATGCATTTTGACTTTAGAAATGTAAAAAATATGTACATCTTAAATTTGGTGTATCATAAGTAGATTGATTTATCTATCTATTACTTATTCACATAAGATATAAGTATCTTCCCATTTGGTACATATATAAATAAGGTACATTTAGCATATTTACAGCTTTTAGATAATAAAAAAAATGCTATATTGAACATTCTTTTAATATACTTTTCTTTGTAATGGCATTATTTTCTTAGAATAAATTCCCAAATGAAATTGATGGGTTAGGGACACACATTTCTCATTACAGTGCATATTGTCTGCCCTCTAAAAATCTTGTAACAATTTGCTCCGCACCAAGTGTATAATATTCTAGATTCTTCACTCATACATGCTAGAACACTCTTTCTTCTTTTAATCCTTATTTTTGTGACTTGTGTATCTTTCCATATGTCTGTTGGTTTTTTCGTACTTCTTTTGTGAATTACCTATGTATGGACTTGCCCATTTATTGGCGATTTTAAAAAAGCCCATTTTGATTGAAAGATGTTGACCATTTTTTGTGGTTATGTTTTAGTTTTGTTACTAAAAATTTTTATGGGTTTTTTTTGCACAGAATATTTAAATGTTCATGGAATTGAATCTATCAATATTTCCTTTGTGATGTGTTATACACAGAAAGATGCCCTCATGCCAAGATTATAAAAATATCCTCTAGATTGAGACAGAGCACAATTGAGTTTGCTAAGACTATAACCTAAACACATATCATAATTGGATACTCACCAATTCTGCTTCTAGACAGGAACTAATGGGCTTTGTCTAGTTGTGTTGGTGGATGTGTCAATTAGCTCCAGTCAGGTGTTGGGCAGTGTCCCCCAGAGCAGCCCAAACTGAAGAGGGGCAATGATCACACTGGTTTCATTAATGTGACTGACACTTCTGTTTTAGCAATTAGAAATGGGAGTTAGTGAATTTAATCACAGGAGAAAATAGTATTTGGGGCGATTAGCAGGGAGATTGGCAGGGATATTGACAGATTAATTAATCATACTTAAAAAATACTTTTAGTATCATTTAGAGTCTTTCTAAAGACACAATCTCAATGAAATTCAGAGACTATATATAGGTATAAATAACCCAAAAATCAATTATAAGTTTGACTGGAGTTTACAAAGTTAATTTTCACAATATTTGAATTCAAAGTGATAGCTGAATTCCCCAATACCTTATAGTTTGAATAGCATTGCAATCCACACTTCAGGTCTCTTAGCTGATTTCCATGGTTGTTGTTCTATCTTGGAGTCTAACAGTTGTGGTTATAAAATGAGGATTAAATCCTCCCCCAAATATTAGGTGCTTGAGGAGTCTTTACCTCCTGGTGACCTGAATAGAATGTAATTTTCCAGTTTGGGATTGGAATTTGTTGATGAAGAAAACCATGATACCCTTAGCTGTATTCTAATCAGGCCATCTTTTTTTTTTCCAGAGCATTTTAAAATATTTAATTGGTGATGTGATGGGAATCTTGTTTCATTTTTCTTGCTGAGACCACCTTGTCCCATAGATTGTATTCTTTGGCACTCAGTTCTGGAATGTTATGGACAACTGCTATGTCTGTATAGGGTAATCCCAAGAGAAAGGGGGTTACCGTTTCCCTCAATATTGTAACAGGGTGGTCCCTAGAGAAAGAGGGGTGGTTTCCTACCTTCCCTGCCCCACCCAAGGAAGGCTGAAGCTGAGCAGGGAGGAGGAGAAGCTGGAGAAGACAGGGAGAAGGAAGGAAGGGGAGCAAGAAGGATACCAGAGGAGACATATGGCGCAGAGAGACATGTGAAGAAGTCTTACTTCTTCTCAGCCTTGAACTTGTACCAGGGACTTGGGGGACACTAAAGGAGACAATTGAAAGAGAAAGAGACATGGGTGAGAGGTCTGTGGGAAGGCTGACAGTGGCAACCTTTATCTTGATTATACTTTTGCTTTTTCCTTCCAGACTTGCCTGGCCCCTTGTACTCCTTTCCTATGGGTCCCAACTAGAATGTGCTTTAGACTTGTGGCAAGTTTTGGGGCCTCAGTGACCCTGCTTTGGGCCAATTGGTTTGGCTGGACATTTACTTGTGAGGGTATGGGTAACTTTGGGTGCTTGATTTGGAAACTTACTTTTTGTCTTTCTCTTCTCTCTATTACACACTACTTGTATTAAAGGTCTTCCCCACTAGAGTATGTTTAATGCGGCAGATGATAGCATCCATTTGGAGGAGGGATGTTTGGGGGTCCCCAGGTGCCCTTCCTTCTACCCTGTAACATATCTTCCTTCTTATTCCATGCTTCTTATGCATTATTTTGATTATAAAGTCAGGCAAGTACTCCTCTCCATCACCACACATATTTTTTCTGCCATTCTGCCTGAGCAATAGACTCTCCAAGTGATGCAAGTGTTGCATTAATAGTCACTGCTGGCCTCTGATTTGGGAGAGTGATTATCAATCGGTTACCTCTACTTCCTCACTTTTCATCCACCTACCTTAGATGTCTAGTCTAGACATAGGATACCATTCACCTTGGTAGCTAATGTCAGAGATGAGCTAAGATCACAGAGCTTTTTTTCTTGCAGGTCAAAACTTAATTTTGCCCTATAAATGTTAATATACCATATATAATTTAAAAATCTTAATACTTACATAACATTACATGTGTTAAATTGTTTGCTCACTCTGGTTTCTCTTAAAGTCATCACTGTAATAAAATTATTTGCAATCAATTGGTATATATAATACCTTATGTACAGTTAACACTATTTTATAGTTACAATTACATATGAACTCAATCCGCACGTCTTTCATTTTTACTAAAGTGCATTTAGTCATTTTCTAGCTATCAAAGACCCCAAAGTATCAGTAATTTTACTAAAGTCTTAACTTTTACTTTAAGAACTTGATGAAGAAAGTAGAAATGTTTGGTAATCTAATTTTCCATTTATTTTGCCTGGTTTCCGTAACTGGCAGATTCAGTGTTCTAAATAAGGGTAAGGATTCCAAAGATGAATAAGCTGCTGAGGATAGTGGTGGACCTAAATCATATACTCACATCACTTCTTGGATTTCCTTAATTTACAGTTAGGAAAGAGAGATAGAGTTAGGTTGTAGAGTTGTGGCAACCAAAGCTCACAACTAATTCTAACCAGAGCTAACTACATCATCTTTGGGTAGAGAGTGACTTTCTTCAAGGCAAGTAATTTTGATACAGTTACTATACAGGACTATACAGGCCATCCAAGCCAGAAGATTAATCCATTATCCAGGATTTATTGAGTCTGTTATTGCCCTAAGAACTGGGGACACCAAGAAAAAGCTAAGTACATGATCTCTGATCTTAGAGCAGTAACACTTTATCAGGGTTTAGTGTTATATACACAAGTCCCAGTAATACCATGTGTCAAGGGCTACAATAGCCCCATGGGAAGTGTGCTTTAACCACAGGGATAAAGGATTGTTCAAAGGTTTCTAGAAGTAGTCAATGGTAAGGTTGTGGTGTGGATGGACCAGAGATTGCTTTGCTGGGTAATAAGTAGTTGATGGCTGCAAATTGGTGACCCTCAGTGACAGCCTGCATTTGAAACCTGACTGCCACATTTAGCATCTTTGTAAACTTGGGCAAGTCAATGAAACTTGCCAGGCTTCACTTACATTTTTTTTTTAAAGAGGGGCCAATGATAGCCCCTACCTTGTTGGGGTTCTTGTGAAAGTAAGTAAATAATACATGTAAATTTCTTGGTATCAGTTTGATATATAGTAATCTAGTTTATCTTTTTTTCTCTTGCCTGTATAGAGTTACATGTAAATTACTATAGAAAAATGATATTTGATCCATTGTTAGAGCTCTCACTGGTAAAAGAACTATAAAACTCCCTCTATCTTCTGAATCTGTGTAATAATTTGCTAATCTGCAAGTTTCTCTTTTAATGTAGCATAAATCCTAACCTGTGGCTTTTTATCAATTCTTGTGCTAAATAAATAAAATAGGTCTAGTCTGGAATTGTCACCACTTTTTTTTCTTCTGGTACTCTGATGTTAAAGAAAATACATATTTAATTGTATAATTTCCTTCCTTTAGCATAGTACTTGTGTCTGTTTTGTGGCACTTGTTACCCATATATCCTTTCTTTCAAAGGAATGCCATGTTCTTTAAGAGAATGCTTATGTCTTTTTAACCTTATCTCTCATAATATCTTAGCATCATAGGCACTGGCGAATTTTGACTAAATGAAGGAATAAGAATGAATGTGTTTGACTATCAGAATAATTGGTGTGATCTCAGGCTGCCCTCAGAGAAACAGAATCTCCTAAATAGTAGGGATTATAGAAACTGGCATATGTTTGGAGAAGAATGGCTAAATGCCAAGATGAAACTGGCATATGTTTGGAGAAGAGTGGCTAAGATGCCAAGATGATTGAAAACCAAAATTATACAATGGTACAGTGAAAAAAAAAAAAAGAGAGATTTGCAATTTGGTAAAGAGGAAACTCATGATGGGAGACCTGGAATGGGGATGATAGGATATAGTCCTTCCTTGTACTGAAATGTTGGTATGTAGATGAGGGAATGAATTAGTGATCCCAGATACATCATAGGAACAGTCTCTGGAAATTATATGGAGAAAGATTTAAGCTCAATGTAAAAAAATATTTTTCTATCTATCAGAATGACTTCCAGGTGGCTGTCTTTTTTTTTAATCTGGCAAATTTTATTGTATGTAAATAATAAGCAATAAAACAAATCAAATCCAGGTGGCTGACTTGAGGAGTGAATTTGTTGATAAGTAGGTGTTCAAACAGAAACTGTACTATTTGTTGGGGAGGCTGTAAAGGATAGGGCTACTTACAAAGGTACTGGAATAGATTACCCTCCAAAGTTTTTTTTCAATTTTCATTACCACCATATTGCCTAAATTAATGAACAACAAAAATGAATTTTTCAAGCACTTGACCTTGATTACTTAAAAATTATTTTTTTTTGCTTCAGGATATCAATTTATGAAATATTATTCTACAATTAACACTGTGTGCTTAAAACATAATAAGCAGTTTATTAATGCTGTTAGCATCTCATAAAAATAACTATTTTAATTTCTAAATAAAATCTAAAAAATAAAAGAAGTAAGTGAGCCAAGTCAACTTGTCCTAATTCAGATAAGCTGTGGTTTAAAGTTCAGGGCTTCCATATAACTATCACCACATTGCTAACATTTACTTAATGTTTACCAAGCTCTGTTTTAAGCACCTCACACACATTAATTCATGTACTTCTATAAGGTGGATATTGTAATCTCCAATATATGTTTTATGTTTTATTTTGAAGTAATTTCAGACCCTTTTTTATTTGTTTATTCATTAACTTATAGCTATAGAGACTTGTGGATTTCTGTTTCATTCAATAGATTATAACCTATTATTATAATTATTGATTTTGATGCTGACATTGTCCCAGATTTGATTGTTGAAATCCTCTTCATGCTGGTTCTTGTGTTCTTTTGACCTCATTGTATTATTCTTGGAGTGCTTTCTGACATAAAATATTTCAGGTTTATCTTTTACTTTTCCTGTCTCAAACATTTCAGTCATTTAAAAAACTATTTCTCCAAAGAGCTTGGCTTCCTTTTAGTAGAGAATGCAAAATCTGGATGTTAGCTGTAGTAATTGCTACTGGGGTGTCATTGCTTTTAGGCAAGCTTAGAAGACAGAACCAGGAAATTCACAAACATATAAGCACATAATATACATCTGTATCTATTTCATCTATTTACTTCAACACCACAGGGTTCATTCTAGTCTTCACCGTTTGTTTGCTCATAACTTACCTCTCCGATGGTGAGAAATTTGGCTCCCATTATCTTCAATCTATTTAACTCTTTGCTCATTCTCCTTTTATATAACTACCATACTGTCGCAATGGGCCATCTCCTTTGCCCCAACTCCTCCTCAGACCCAGTCCAGCTGGCTCTACCAGTCTCCTTACAGCCTTAAATTACATATTTATAAAGTGGTAGAGCAAGAAAAAAACCACTTTGCTAATTATTTGACAGAGAGCCATTTATTGTGAAACCACTAGGGTAAAGATGCTCAAGGAAAGGGGCCCTTGGGCTAAAGGGGAAGATTTAACTAGGCAAACTGGTAGCCCTTAGGGAAGTGCTTCAGAAAATGAAGGGTGTAGGCAACCAAATACTGCCAACTGCCTAGAACCACAGAGAGGATTCACAAAATTGTTGTGGTTCAGGGATCAGTCAGTGCCTCCAGTGCACAAATATCCTGCTATATTTTATTAAAATTTCAAGAGCACATTCCATTAAGACAGAAACATTACTGTGCTGTATTTCTAAAGAAGGAAATATTGCTTTTATTAGCAGCATCTTAAGTTGAAATTCTAGGAGATGGGTGATAATGTTTGTTGTTTTACTGCTGACTTCATTTCCTGGTCCAGAAGATCAGAAATCTGTTCATGTTTTAGAAAACAGCATGAGGTCCATCTGTTCAGGTCAGATTTCTCCACATTAACACAAAGATTTATGGAGTGGTAACTTATGTAGGAAAAACCAGTGGTAATTATATTCTTTGCTACCATTTAGAATCCCTATTTTTTGTTAGTTGTAAAGCTATAGCACACATATGCACAATGAATTAATTCTTTCAAACATTATGTAAGATAAAGGCATCCTGCTTAGTTTGTGCATTGAATAGTATATCACCTCTCTTTTGGTTTAGGTTCTAGACACTATATATTCAAATTTCCTCTGTTATATGGTCTATTTATCCACAGTTTCCCTTCCAACAGAAGGCACAGAAATACAAGAACTACATTTGGCTTCCTGGGTGACTATTCTGGTTGGATTAAAATACAGAGTAATGATTTTCTTCCCTCTACTTAAACAGCTTGATTTCCCTCCCTGACTTAGAAGTAGATACATATGTATAAAGAAAATTAAATAAAAAAATAAAAGAATGTATGGAAATGAAACTCCACCATCTACAAGTATAGATATGAATTGTTTTATATAGTCATACTATGAATTATCTTTTACACCTTTGTTTTTACTTAGCAACATGACATGAAGACTTTTATGTCAACATATAATAAGTACATTATTGTTTTTGATGACTGCAAAATATTGCATTGATTTTTTTTTTATTTAAACTGTCCTCCATTAAAGAACAATGATTTTCAATCTTTCATCATGTAAAGAAAGCTATGCCATCTGGATGTACTTTACTAGCTATTTCCTTAAGATATATTCTTGGGCGTGGCATTGCTGGGTCAAAACATTCACACATTTAAAATTTTGGTACATATTGCTGATAAAATTAACTCTTGAGATGAGTTGTACTATGCTTGTCTTCATATACAATGCCTCTGGCAATGATGGGACTTTATAAAATCTCCTTTCAACTTTGGAGTAGCATTGTATATATGTGTATGCTTGTTCTCTAAGAAACATTAAAGAAGTCGAGTAATTTTAATAAATCTAGGTATATCACTTAACCAATCAAGTGTTGTCAAGTTTCATTTGAAATTTAACTTACAGTTTGGTCTGAAACAAAGTGGTATCTGTTCACCACTCCTTATTGTTTTATCTCATCTGATTTTAATGAAATGGACTGATAGCTATAGTGTGAAGAATCAGTTATGATTAAGTTAAACCGAATTTGAAACTTGTTGAATTCATTTGCCATTTCAATATGTCTTGGCCTCAAGGGGGATTTCAGGCTTGGCTTTCTTGTGAATAAACCAGCAAAAACAGGGCAAATGTGAGCAGCTGGTGTATATACTATTTGGGTGATGTGAGTCTAGACTCAATTGATTCTGGGTGTAACTTTTTTGTTCAATGACTAGCGCAAGTTTGGGGGGTTAGCTGACTTCTTTGAACTCAGCAGGATTGTTTAATCCTCTCTCATGAGAGTTAAGTAAAGGTTAAGCAACCAGTAAGTACAACTTTTATAAGTAATCAGAACACCGTTTTACATTTACTTGGCATCTTATCAAATTTGTGACTTAACCTTTTAGACTGTATAAAAAACAATCATGGAAATAGAAAAGGATTTTATTTTGCCCCTCTCCCTTCTAGTGATGGCTCCCTGCCACTCACCTAGCACTTCACCAAACTTAAAGGTGTGGATTCATTACAAACCAATTCTGCTTTAAAAAACAAAACAAAACAAAACCAGTAGGAAAATAAGTGGTAGATGATAAATCTGTGTTCATTGTGAATGGGATATTTTATGCAAATTGATAAGTCCAGTGCTTCAGAGATTAGAAACTCATTCCTGGAAGGGGAAGTGTTGATTATAAATGGTGAAAAATGCCTGCATTCCAGCAAGTTCTTAGCTGCCAGCTGACACATACATCATAGTGTGCCAGAATGGATTTTAAAATGGTACAACAGAAATTGCTCTGTTCCAAATCAGGCATCATCGCCTTCACACAAGCCAAATCAACCTGCTTGCTTGAAAACTGCCGCATAAGACTTTTTGTCAACCTTGGTTAACATTTTCCTTTCCTGGCATGCATATTCATCACAGTCTACTAAAGTCATTAAGCACCATTGAATATAGAGGAGCCAGGCTTCTCATATTGATTTTGCCTACACAGCAACAGGCCCAGTTGCTTCTAAACTGACGGCAAAACAGAACGTTTACCCTACTTCTAACCAGACTGGTAACTCTCATCCGTACGTGCCCTCTTCTACCCCTTTTCCTTTTCCACCTTCTATTCTTGTATATTTGACTCTTTTCTTTGTCACTTTCAGAGCCAGCTGTTGTCTCTAGCAGCTCCTGCACTGCTGATAACCCCAGTTATCTCTTCCCTAGCTTTCTACCTTAGCTGAGTCTCCTGCTCAAAGCTAGACTAGGCCTCCTATTTGGTACCCCTCTCCCTCTTCTTTCTGCCTCCATACCCAACCTATACCCAGCCCATCAGATCTCTCACCATACCTCATTTCATCTCCAAGTACCCTAGCTGTAATTTCCTACTTTCCTTTAACTCAGACTGATATACCCCAGCAAAATCCTCAGGCCTTTCTCTCATTTTCCCACAATCCATCTTAACCCAACTCCTTTTAACCCACTTGGATCACATTCTTCCTTGCTCCTTCTAGATAGGCTTGCTATGGATTCCAGGAACCATTGCCTTTCCTAGTTCATCTAAGTAGTCTTCATCCCAACCCAGCTAGTCATACCTCTAGCTTCAGCCTAACTCAGCTCCATCAAAGCAGCCATGACTTATACCTTGTTGGGCAACTTCAGCTTTTCAGCCCTGAATAAGGTTTCATTCTCATCTAAATATTCCTCTTTTAAGCTGATTTTAGCTAATGTGCCAAAGAGCTCATTATTCAGTCTATTGTGTCCCAAATCAATTCTAGCCTAGAATGTGTGAGCTATCCTCCAATTCTGGTACTGTTGTGCATCTGTGAACACTATAGGGGGTGATCCTCACAGAAGATGTCACACTGACCTGTCACCAACAAAGTACAGCAATGATGGTGAATTTGGATTGATCAATCCACATTCTCTCCTTGAGTCTTAAAATTGAGAATACACATTTGTGGGATGATTGGCAGTATCAGAAGGTAGCTCTGGAAACAAAGATTACTATTGCTACTGTAATACAGAACCAAGCTCTACCTAAGGGCTGAATTATCAGGATCAGGATACCAGAACCAGATTCCAAAATGCAACAAACTTGCCATTTCTCAGACTCAAAGTAAATTATATTTCTCACAACCAAGAATGGTCAGAATGAAGGATTTCCTATGCTGCTGATTTTTCAGGCAAATATCAGTTTCTTGCTGGTCAATATTGTGAATATAAAGATCAGAATTCAGCCTCAAGTATTATCCCCTTTAAATGCACAATGAATTGTTATGTTTTGTTTTCTTCTATATGTTCACTTATTGTGGTAATTATTAGGTGTTTAGTCTTATTTATTTCTTGCTGGACTGTTCAGAATCTGCTTTATAAGAAGGTATGAGGAATGGGATTCAAGGGCTTTCCTAATTATAGATTGAAAGTTCTTCAATGATGTACCTCAATTTAAAGTTCTCTCAATCTAAGAAATTTGCAAGGATGCTGATCTTGGGTTGTTCTGACAATTCTGGGCAAGCTTGGTCAGCACAGAATCCAAATGACAGGCCAGACAAGCAGAGGAGTTCCTCAATGATCTGGAAACAACATACCCAGCACAGAGTTAGAATTAAAACTGGGTGGCTAAGATAACAAAGACAATCTCAAAGGTGTGATCTGGACAGAAATGGGAGAATGAATAGCAGAGCCTGTGATAGCTGACAACAGGCTGGTAACAAAGGAGTAATTATAGAACACAGTTCAGTACTGAGTTTTTATTTGGTTCAATCAACCTAATGTGTTTCGTGTGCTAGAAACACAAATATGAGTAATCCTCATGCCTTCATGGAACTCACAGGTAACAAAGGACATTGTAACTTCGCATGCTGCCTTTCAATGGTGCCTTGATCTTTTGTCAGAGTGGACATGGTAGATTAAAAGAGATACCTTGGGCTGGGCACAACATAGAAAATCTGAGATATGGGCCTCTCTGGTGGCGCAAGGGGTTAAGCACAGCACTGTGAAACTCTCTGAAGCCTCTGCATGAGTTCGATCCCCAGCCAGCCAGGGAGCTACCCACATGGTGCAGCAGAACCTCTCCTGTCTCGCCCACTGCTCCCCACGGCAGTGTATTACAGTCAATCTGCCAGTTCTGCTCCTCACTCTGTCTCTGGTGAATCCTCTCATCTCCGTACTTCTGGCCTATTATTTATGCATAAATAAATAAATAAATAAAAATCTTAAAAAAAAAAAAAAAGGAAATTTGAGTTGACAAGTCTAGTCCAGCATAAGCATGGGAGGGGAGTAGTTTTAGTATGAGGGCTCATGACTTCTCTGTGGCTCTGAGTCTTCTCAGAAGGGACATTTAAAAAGTCAGATCTGGACAAATTTTAGTACTTGTCCCCTGGTCTGGAATTTGCTAGCTGGGCCTAGATAAAGATTTGAGTAGAAGTGGCTAAGAGGGTGAATAGACAGTACAAGGGAATGATAAGAAAACCAATTTTTGCCTCGACAATAGCATTTTTAGAGAATTATATAAGTAATCACATGAAATTTATAGCAACCAAAGAGATTTGATTGAAGGAATTATCCAAACTTGTTCTATTAGTGCTGACTAAAAACAATATGAATTTATTATCATGTTCTGATCATTGGACAAAAACCAAGGTGTTGACAGGGCATATTTCTTTTTGGAGGCTGGAGGAAGGATTCATTTCCTTGCCTTTTCTAGCTTCCAGAGGCTGCCCAGTTTCCATGGCTCATTCTCCCCTTTTCTCTCCAGTGGCAGCAACTGTGGACTGAGTCCTCACATTGCATCACTCTCATCTTGCTCTTGTTGTCACATTTCCTTTGACTTTTCTGAGTCTATCTTCCATTTTTAAGGACCCTTGTGAGGATACATTGGGACCAACTAGATAACCCAGGATAGCCTCCCTATTGTAAAGTCAGTTGATTGGCTGTCTTAATTCCATCTGTCACCTTAATTCCACTTTATCAGATAAAGCTATGTATTCACAGGTTCTGGGAGGTAGGCTGTGGACATCTGGGTATGGATGGGAGGGGAGTGACATTATTCTGCCTATCACAGATGGTTACTTTGCAATGTAGTATATTAAAAAGGTCTTGGGAAGGCAGACCTAGATTTGCATTTTGGCTCTACCATTGAGAGGTTATGTCACCCATTAACAGGCAGGGAGCTATTTAACCTTTCACAAACTATTTCTTCATCTGTGAAATGGAGTTATAATAACAGCATCAAAGAGTTGTTTTTAAATTAGAAAATAAGTTTTTAATGTATGCCTGGAATATAGAAGGAGCTAAACAGACATAGGTATCATTATAATGAGAGACTCTAGAGCCATATTGAGAGCCAAGCAATCTAAAAGAGCACATCCCAGGTGCTTGGAAGCATCTGTGCTTGATATTTCCTCTGGTTTCATTTTTCCTAACTAAATGGTTGCCTCAGACAATTTCAAAGCCAAACAGTTTATTGATCCTGAATAAACACACAAAATATGAATAAAGACACACTGTATTTTACTTTTAATCCCAGCCAGTTTTTCTCCATGGTTGATGTCTGAATGGAGAACAGAGAAGCAAACATTTGTACCCTTGGTTTATCTCCTAGTTGTTTTTTCAGAGTCTTTGGCTACCACAAAGCATATTTTCTTTATATTCAGTGGGAAAACTTTAAATTTGTTATCTATTCATATCTTTTCCTACGATGGTTATTAAGCTATTCTTATATAAAGGATCAGTGGTGGCAGTTGCTTTTTCCATTTGCCTTTCAGCTCACAAAAAGCAAAAGTTAATGAGTGACCTATTGTTTTCAAAGTCCATTTATGAAAATATATTAACTAGCCTTTAAAAGTGATGCTGTAGAATATTCAATAACATGAAAAAATATTTTCAATCTACTTGTAAGTAAAATGGGGGAGTTATAATACAATATAATATTCAATATTTTGGTGGGGGGAGAAGTTCACAAATTAAAAAAAGACATGGAAAGGTCAGGGATATCCAGGTTGGAAGATTATGGATGGATAGATTTTACTATCTTTGCTTTCCCACTATTCTGAGTTTTCTGCAATTTACATATATTGCTTTTGTAAAAGGAATAAAGAAAAAGTTGTTTTGCTTAGAGATTTGATTGTAGTAAATAGCTCCTGAGTCCTGAGCTTGTCCTCAGCAAGCCCAGTGCAACCTGATGAGGAACTGCTGTGGACTTGTTGGTGCTGGTACTCATTTGACTGGGCCAAACTGTGAGGTATGCACTATGAAGCAGGTAAATAGCAACCAAAGTTCAGTCTAGTGATGCTGAAAGACATGTATCTCCAGTACTTTACCCATTGAGAATGATTTAAATAAGAAGAGAAGGTACATTTTACTTAAGGAATAGCTCCCTTTATGCCCAAGGAATTTAATGTTAAAGGAAATACGTGAGACTCAGCAGCACAAATAGAGCCAGAGATAGAAAAGCTAAATATACAAATTCTCTTAATAGCAAACTGCATACCTAATGTTTCACTGGATAACGGGCTGCACAGAGTTGGCATTCAGGACAGAAGAGGCACTGTTGATGTACTGTAGGAGAAGAGGTGCAGAGTGATGACCCAGGCTAAAACTGAGAAAATAATTGAATATGTTCACTAAACAGAGTTTAAACTCCTGTTAAGAACAGGAGCAAATATCCCAGGGTAAGGCTCAGACTGGAAAAAAAGAACAACTCCCAGCTTGTGACCCTGTCTCTGCTACAACCAGTGCTCAGTGCTGTATCCAGTGCTTAAACATGTCCTAGAGGTGGAAGCTGGCATAAAACTATACAAGACACTTAGACTGAGGAGCTGGCTTATAGGACGGGATCACTGTGGATCCCCACTACACATTCTGGTACCCACTGCACAGTAGGAGTTTAAATTCCCAAAGCTCACTGAAAAAATTTATCAACATGATGCCATGCATGAAAGAAGTGTTGGCATTATTATGAAGCAACAGAACAAGGAATATAGAAACAACAGACACCTAAAGAGAGTAACAATGTGTCCCATCAGAATAAGTTTGAGACAGACTACCCAGTGGGTGACACAGTCTATCATATACTAACCTCAGAAGAACCCTAAAAAAAGTCAATAAAAATAAAACATAAGACAACAGAAATGGAATATAAATAAAACATAAAGACCTCAAAAAATGAAGACAAGACAAAAATAAAATTGCAATGAGCATTTACATCTCACTAATCACCTTAAATATACATAGCCTAAATTAAAAAGGTATAGAGTGGCTGAATGTATTTCACTTGATCTTAGCCAAAAGGCTGAGAAGTGATGGCTGAATGTATTTCAAAACAGAGTCCAACCTTTTTGCTCTTTACAAGAACTCCATATTATCAACAAAGCAAACACATGTATGGACCTAAAGGCTGGAAGATAATCCTACAATAAATGGTAATCAAAAAAGTCAGAAACAGCTATGTATCAGATAAATGAGACTTCCAATTAAAAAAATTATGAGATAGAGATGGATATTACATTATGATTAAAGGCTTAATACAAGAAGAAAAACACACACACAAGCTTATGTATTGAATGATTACTCTCCTCAAATCTCTAAGTGTTCACTGAACTGAAAGCTCTCTGAATCTTGTCCTTTTGGGCTTTATGGAGGCTTCATTACATAGTCATAATCATTGACCTCTGGTTTTTGATTCAATCTTCAGGCCTTCTCATCATCCTTGGAATTCAGGTGGTGACCGAAAAGTTCCAACTCTCTAGTTATATGGTTGGTTCTCTTGGCAACCAGCTCCCATGCTTAGGTAGGGATATAAAATTCAACTGTTTAGTGAAAAACACCCTTGTGACTCTCACTATCTAGGAAATTCCAAGGGCTATAGGAGATCTGTATCAGAATCTGGGTCAAAGACCAAATATGTATTTATTATAAGTCCCTTATCACATGGCCCTTTTTATCAGTTCAGAGAGAGGAAGGAATAGCTTCTCTCCACAGGTTTCAGGGGGTATTAACTGCACAGATTCTATGCATGTCCTAAGGTATCTTGATATCCTGGAAAGATAACTCCCTTTTGGTTAACTAGTTAAGCATAGTCTTTTCATTTTCATTCAGGGACAAGGAAGACTATCCAAACACATGGATAGTCTTTTTTTTTTAATATTTTATTTTATATAATTATTACATCTTTTTTCATCTTTGCACAATGTATGCATTTTCATTTTGGTTATATTCCCCTTACAATTGCACCCCCCCTTATTTTGACTCTAGTCCTTCCTCTCCCTACCCATCCCTCTTGCTCCCTCCGCCCCAGTGTGTCTCTGGTTTATAGTTGCTTGTTGATTTTGATTTTTACTTTGTATTGATTAGTCTTTTTTCCTGGTCTCTGATTTAGGTTTTCTAAAGTCCTGCTATGAGTGAGGCCATCCTGTATTTTTCTTTTTCTTTCTGACTTATTTCGCTGAGCATGATCCCTTCTAGCTCCATAGCACATGGATAGTCTTAAGTAATGAGGCATCCCAGGGATAGACTACTCAGGTATAAGGTAGCAATCTATCAGTTTTATAAATATTTAGTTATAATCCAATCTCATTCATGAATATCAAATATCACATTATTTTCCACATTTAACCCATATTATAATCAAGTACATGACCCAACTTTATATCTAAGACTTTTACCACTTTTGGGATCAGTCTGATAACTATTATTAACTGATATTTGCTTTAGGTACCATAAGGAGATTGTTCTAAAGATTCTACCAAGACAGTAGTAATGTTAGTGTTATTTTTCTCAAGCTTAGGAGTGATCTCATATGGAGGGAGAGGGATGTTCTCCCTTAAAACTGACTGAAGGTGAAGGTTACCAGATCATTATTTGCAACAACTGGGTGTGCCTTCTCATCCCTCAATTTGCAGACTGCTTAGATGGCATATTTTAATTTTTTCTTTGCTTATTTGAGCGAAGAGAAAGGAAATTGGAGAGATAGGGACAGTGATGAATGGCCGATACACTTACTGGAGTGGGAAAGATGTGTGAGTTTTCTGGGACTGAGTGAATACTATTGGTACCTGTCCAAGAGAGCTACCCACCTATCAAGAGCACCAACCAGCAATAGACTATACGGCTATAAGCCACAGGTCAAGAGGATCTCCCACATCAGGGAGCCTTACAGAATTTCCCCACGATAGCCTGCATTTGGATGCCCGCAACCTAGAGGTATCTATTAGTGGCTTATCAGAGTTAACAGAGAAAGAACAATCAGAGAGAGTATTCCCACATGTATTAGAGTCAAGGTTTAATATGAAAACCAGCAGGAGATATATTACAGGGAGTTGGCTTGTACAATTGCAAGTCTAAAGTCTGTTAGGGCAGGAAGAGAAGATCAAGAGCATGCTGGAGTTTCATGAACACAAGCCAGAACCTGCTGCTCACAGGCAGTAAGGAAAGGAAGATTACTAGTAGGCTGGAACTCCATGGGCAGGAATTGTTGGGAATCTCTTAACTCAAGAAGGGCTTAAGCCCACATTTAAATGGATCCTCGATTAGGTCAGGCATACCTAGGATAGTGTTTCTTTTGATTAACTTAAAGTCAACTGATTAGTGGCTTTTATCATATCTGCAAAATGTCTTCACAGCAGCACCTAAATAACTGGGGAATGTATTTAAGCCTGGCCAGTTTATATATAGGAAAAAAGCCAACACATAATAGCAGCTAATATATGAAACACAAGTCTCTTTCCTTTTCCTTCCCTGTGCCAATATACTAGGAAAGAGCATGTTAGAAGTTAGAAGTTAGAAGAGGGAGATGGAGAAGGTGTCCAGAAGCAGATTTTGCTTTCCCAGTCTCCAAAGAGAGGGAATAGAGAAGGAGTAACTAAGATTAGACCACATTCTCTCCCTATTCATGCCCCTGAAACTATAAATCTGGTTTGCAATGGGAAAGGGGAAAGCTTCGAATGGATATAAGACTAATTTAATAATGGGCAGAAAGTAGGAAGTTACAGAATATAACTTAACGAGAAGTCATTATTTACTGACTACCAAGAAAAGGAGATTTAACATAGCAAATTTAGCTACAATGAGTACAGACAATACCCCACTAGGTTAAGAAAACTAAGTAAGATGATCAGATTACAAAAATTAGTTTAGAACTACTGCTGACATTAAAGAAGGGAGGGGGTGATAATTAAAGTGTAAAGGAAGGGCTTGTTCCTATTTGGACTGGGCCTTCTTAAAAGGTGAGCAGTGCTCAGAAAGTTGGAGCAGAGGAGAAACTAGTGAGAATAAAGACTTAGGGAAGTGACATGCACATGTGTGGAGTGAGGACAGGCAGGACACTGCACTAATCAGGGCAAAGTACTCTGTGTGTTAAGGAGTAGACAACTGATAGGGGGGCAGGGTCATGAGAGCCAGTCAGTGGAGTTGAGATTCAATACGGTAGGACATCCCTGTAGGTTCTTGAATGACAAAAGGTTTAGGAATTTTTTTGTTTTGTTTTGAATCTTTTAAAGGCAGAACAATGACAGAGGTATAATATAGATTTTAGGGGAGAAAGGACTGGGACTCAAGGGAGTTTGTTGGATACCATTATAATATTCAAGGAAGAAATTCACAATAACCTGTTCCAGCATCACAAAGGTAAAATGCAACTGCAGGAGAAAGAGAAAATCTCAGAAATATTTCAAAGACAAAAACAGTAAGACTGATGATCAAGCAGAAAGGATAATTCAGAGTATTCCTTGGTTTCTAGTTTGGGGAACTGGAAAAATGGTGGTATCACAAGCATAAATGAGAAATTGGGGAGGGAAAATATATGTGGGAGAAAAAAACTATTAATTTGACTTGGGAATAGTGAAGCTGAAGTCATGATTTAAAGCAGAAGTGTTTGGATAATAATTGGGGAAAAAAGAACAGTCAGATTAGGAATATTCAGGAAGGACTATAGTGGGAGGCTATAGGAAACTGAATGACTTGAAGGCACTGGCGATTTTTTAAAAAATGATTTCTTCCAATTGAAGGTGGTATTTTTTTTAAAGAGAAAGGAGTGAATAGGAAAGGAACAGTTGGCTACCCAGATGGTATCCAACAACAAACAGGATTTGATTTCTGGACCATGGTTTATGATGTTGGAACACAATTTCTTAGCAAGGAATAGGGAGTAATGTGTCACAAAGACAACAGAATAAAAAGACTTTCTTCATTTTTTTAGGGGGAAAGGGAGGTGTCTGTCACTGGGAAGGAAACAGGAAATTGTTCTTAGGAAGATAAATGTATGCATGTGTGTGTGTGTGTGTGTGTGTGTGTGGAGAGAGAGAGAGAGAGAGAGAGAGAGAGAGGAGAGAGAGAAAGAAATGGAAGTGAGGAACAAGTACAGATATCAAAGAAAGAGTAACATTGTAGAAGATATTCAGTGTTCCAAAAATGTTAACTATAGGTGAAAGTTTAATTTATTGCTAACATTTATTGAGTTTACTATAGGCCAGCATGATGGAAAACCTTTTATATGCATTATATCACTTAATCCTTAAAACAATCTCAACTTTTTTCCTACTCAACAAAATGTAGTGGACATCTTTCCACGTTTATAAAGATCTGCACTGTGGTTTTTAATGGATGCATAGCCCAGCATTTTATTGTATGAAGGGTCATTGTCTTAATAGTAAATTACAGGGCCTCCCCTGGTGGCCCAGTGGTTGAGCGCTGGGCTGCAAAGCTGCCCGCAGCTTCTGCAGCACCGGTTCGATCCCCGGCCACCGGCGAGGGTCCCACATGGCTCGCAGACCTCTCCTGCTGCCCGCTGCTCCCCTCAGCAGTGCACTTCGTCATTCTGCCTGTTCTGTTCCCCGCTCTGGCTCTGGTGAATTCTCTCACCTTCTCACGCTTCTGACTGTACCCAGTGCTTGTATAAATAAATAAATTAATTAAAAAAAAAAGATTCTCAACATCGCTAATAATCAAAGAGATGCAAATAAATTGATAATGAAATGCTGTTCTTCATTTAAGTCAATGGGAAAAATCAAAAATGAAAACAGCAAACACATCTATAAAAAAATAGTAAATTACAATGACGTCTCTTATTCATACATACTTTTCACTTTTTTTCTTAAATAACAGATGAAATTATTAGTTTTTAATTTTTTGAGCAATATTATGATTAAAAAATAAAAATGTAAAAAAGTATATCGCAAAAAGATTTTATTCCAGTTCTGTTCCCTTAGCATCTTTCCATAATTCTTTGTTATTATTTTTTAAAAGATTTATTTATTTATGCATATAAGAGCTGGGGTACAGGCCAGAGGTACGGGGTGGGGGTGACAAAGGATTCACCAGAGACAGAGTGGGGAGCAGAACAGGCAGATTGAGTGAAATACACTGCTGAGGGGAACATCAGGCAAGACGAGACAGGCAAGGAGAAGTCTGCTGTGCCATGTGGGTCACCTCCCTGGCTGGGATGGAACTCATGCTGCAGTGGCTGCGAATAGCTTCATAGTGCTGTGACTTAACCCCTTCCGCTACCAGGGAGTGCTACCAGGGAGTGCAAAGAAATATGTTATTTTTTTACACACAAGGTAAAAAGCATCTTGTGATAATCTTTTTAGAGTAAAATTTCAGAAGCGGTATTGCTGATTTAAAAGGTAGTTTCAGTTAAAAATTTAAATACATAAAGCTCAGTTGTTTGTCAGAAAGATTGTGCACACCAATAATGCATGTCAATAAATTTATTTTATTTTCTAATTTCAGCATATTTATATATCTGAAAATGCATGGGGAGCCAAGAATCTTAAATAAATCACTATAATTTGTAATATAAGGCAAATCCTGTTATTATACATAAGTGATTATACAAAAGCCTTTGCATCTTCTGTTAATAAGTTTTATACAAATAGACACAGTGAAGGAAGTGTGATCTAAATTGTTACTTATTTTTCTGTCTTTTTCTTATTGGGTGTGTGGAGACAGGTAGGAATCAAGAGATAGAAAAAGATCAGTTGTTTGTGATGTAATGACAGGAAGTAGTGCTGAATGAGACAAAAATAAACAAAATTAGAAGTAGAGGAAGACTTAAGATCCAAGTGAACAAAAGGTAGACAGTTTCATTGGAATATATCTAAGACATATTGCCACATCATCTCTTACTTCTACTTTCTATTATTGAATTGATGCATATGATTATTATAACAGAAATTAAAATTAAATTTCAACTAAATATGTACATTTTTTTCTTTTCCTTCTTAAATAGAACTGATTAGCTGAAGAAATGGATACTTCTCCCTCCAAAAAATATCCAGTTAAAAAAAGAGTAAAAATACATCCTAACACAGTGATGGTGAAATATACTTCTCATTATCCTCAACCTGGGGAGGATGGATATGAAGAAATCAATGAAAACTATGGAAATTTTATGGAAGAAAATCCAAAGAAAAGTTTGTTAAGTGAAATGAAAAGAAAAGGAAGAACTATCTTTGGAACCATGAATACCCAACCTCCACCAACAGAAGACCCCACGACCAAAGAGAGTGGACAATTCCAGAACTTTGCAGAAAAAAATAATTTTCAATCAAGAAAAATGTGGATAGTGCTGTTTGGATCTGCTTTGGCTCATGGATGTGTAGCTCTTATCACCAGGCTTGTTTCTGATCGTTCTAAAGTTCCATCTCTAGAACTGATTTTTATCCGTTCTGTCTTACAGGTCTTATCTGTGTTAGTTGTGTGCTACTACCAGGAGGCCCCCTTTGGACCTAGAGGATACAGATTACGACTTTTCTTTTATGGTGTGTGCAATGTCATCTCTATCACCTGTGCTTATACATCATTTTCAATAGTTCCTCCCAGCAATGGGACCACTATGTGGCGAGCCACAACCACAGTCTTTAGTGCCATTTTGGCTTTTTTACTTGTAGATGAGAAGATGGCTTATATTGACATGGCTACAGTTGCTTGTAGCATCTTAGGTGTTTGTCTTGTCATGATCCCCAACATTGTTGATGATGACAATTCCCTGTTAAATGCCTGGAAAGAAGCCTTTGGATACACTATGACTGTGATGGCTGGACTGACCACTGCTCTTTCCATGATAGTGTACAGATCCATCAAGGAAAAGATCAGCATGTGGACCGCATTGTTTACCTTTGGCTGGACTGGTACAGTCTGGGGATTATCTACTATGTTTGTTCTTCAAGAACCAATCATCCCATTAGATGGAGAAACCTGGAGCTATCTCATTGCTATATGTGTCTGTTCTACTATTGCATTCTTAGGAGTTTATTATGCCTTAGACAAATTCCACCCAGCTTTGGTTAGCACAGTACAACATCTGGAGATTGTGGTAGCTATGGTCTTGCAGCTTCTAGTGTTACATATATTTCCTAGTGTCTATGATATCTTTGGAGGGGTAATCATTATGATTAGTGTTTTTGTTCTTGCTGGCTATAAACTTTACTGGAGGAATTTAAGAAGGGAAGATTATCAGGAAATACTGGACTCTCCCATTAAATGAATACCTGTTTCATGATCTTGTTAATATCTAGTTATTAATAGGTACACTGCCATTTTAATGTTCACATATGTCTTTTGTGTTGAAAAATTGAGAGTGCTATATAGTATATAATTAATATGCAGATGTAGAAAAATTTATTCTAGTCTAATATATTCAAAACAAATATTAAATATGTGAAATGTCATAAACCTGGTATCTTTATGGTTATTAATAAAAGGTAATTGTGGTAGAAGATGAATATTAACTTCCATCACTAGAGAACATCATATGATTTGAGGAAATGACTACTGTCAGATGTGATGCTAAAATTCAAACTTTAGAAAATTGGTCATGCCCAATGATCTACAAAAAATCTTTCAATATTCAAAAAACTTCATCTGTGAAAATACAGTTAAGGTGAAATACTAAATACCAAACTCTGCTTTGTCATCAATTTGCATTAGAAAACTAGAGGTGATAGGCCTGGGTAAGGCAGCTTGAATAGAGGCATGATAGAGGGAACAAAAGAAAGGAACTGGTTTTTCAATGACACTGGTGGTTGTCCTATCTTAGCACTGGGAAATGGTCTTCCCTTTGCTATGGCTACATTAAGCAATGTATAGGAAATGAAGGTAGGGAGAAGACTGGGTTCTTGTCAATTCTATTTAGCATTTTGTTCCTGATGGGGGGAGACTTAATATTGGGACAGGATCTACTCATCCTTAGTTACACCAAAACTCCCCTTACTTATGATTTCATAGAAACTACATGTGTAAGTACGGTACTCCTTACCTCTGAAAAAGACACAGGCACCAATCACAGTCTAGCAGAAAATTGATTATGACATGGTATCCTGAGAGACTTTTCAAAAGGGTTTAAGTGTCTGTAAAAGCATAGATAAGGGGGCATTAACTTGACAATTTTTCTAATTTTGTACAAACAAATGTTATTAAGCGATTGTTAGTGAGCTATCTTGACTCCAAATTCACCCTTCTTTGCTTTCTTATGTGATGCTGTAAGTCAAACTCCGCAAACTACATTTCCCCTATGCCAGATGGTGTCTCACTAGGTTCCACCAATAAAGGGCATTAGAGGAAGACTGTAAGATAGGAGAAAGGAGAGAAACAACTCCTTCCTTTCCTCCTTTCTGTTTGCTTACAGTTTTTGTCATTGTTACTCCAGCAATAAGTAATAGCTCTTTGTTCCAGGAGTAGCAATTGATCTCAGCCTGGATGTTCTTTTGGCCCTTCCCCAACTAGCCTCATTAGAAGTGGTAGGACCTAGACAGCATCCTCTCAGGGATCTTACATTCAGCTGGGTCATTTCTCTGATAGTCCACCCTCTCTTCCTCCTTTTTAATAGCCCCAGGAGTGGTAGCTGCTCTCTATGGTTATCATCTCTGGGCTACTTTAGTGATCCACTTTTGCTTTTCAGTGTATCAACAACCAATACTATATTTTGTTTGTTATAGTATTTTGTGATTCCTGTTTTCTCAACTAATATGTATCTAAGCCTTTGCTGAAAGGGCCCACAGTCATTTGCAGGGTCCTGTGTTTTTGGGAAATGTTAACATTCAGATTTTTCAGGAACTAGTAGACATTGTTTCTTTTTCTTTTTTTTTTTTTAGATTTATTTATTTATGCATACAAGAGCTGGGATACAGGCCGGAGGTGTGAGGGGTGAGAGGATTCACCAGAGACACAGTGGGGAGCAGAACAGGCAGACTGACTGAAGTACACTGCTGGGGGGAGCAACGGGTGAGTCAGGAGAGGTCTGCTGTGCCATGTGGGTTGCTCCATGGCTGGGGATCGAACTCGTGCTGCAGAGGCTGCGAACAGCGTCATAGGTTGAGTCTTAACCTGTTGAGCCACCAGGAAGGCCCCTGTTTCTTTCTTTCTTTCTTTTTGATGATTTATTTATTTATGTATACAAGAACTGGGGTACAGGCCAGAAGTATGGAGGGTGAGAGGATTCACCAGAGACAGAGTGGGGAACAGAACAAGCAGACTGACTGAAGTACACTGCTGTGGGGAGCAGAGGGCGAGTCAGGAGAGGTCTGCTGCGCCATGTGGGTAGCTCCCTGGCTGGGGATCAAACTCGTGCTGCAGTGGTTGTGGACAGCTTCATAGGTTGCGTCTTAATCCCTTGTGCCACCAGGGTGGCCCAGTAGACATTGTCTCTTAATAGAAATTATCCAAATCAAAGCACAGAAAAAAAGGATTTAAGGAAAAAAAAAACAAAAACCTAGGAAGATCAGTAGTAAGAACCAAGAAGCCTAGCATGGTCTCAGAAGAGAAGAGAGAGAATGGGGCAGAAAAATCATTTGAAGAAGAGGGCCTCCGTGGTGGCACAAGGGGTTAAGATGCAAATTATGAAGCTATCCACAGCCTCTGCAGCATGAGTTCGATCTGGCCAGCCAGGGAGCAACCCACATGGCGCAGCAGACCTCTTCTGTCTTGCCCGCTGCTCTCCACATCAGTGTACTTTGGTCAATCTGCCTGTTCTGCTCCCCACTCTGTCTCTGGTGAATCCTCTCAACAGCCACACCTCTTGCCTGTACCCCAGCTCTTGTATGCACAAAATAAATAAATCTTAAAAAAAAAAAGCATTTGAAGAAATAGTGGCCAAAATTTTTTAAGTCTAACGAAAGGAAACAACAAACAAAAATCCACAGATCTAGGAAAATAAGTGAATAACTAACTGCTGATAAAGACACAGAAACAAAATTTTAAAAGCAGTCACAGAGAAAGCCTTAAGACATACAGGAAAAAATTGAGAACTACAGCTGGCTTCTCATCAGAAACAATGGAGGCCAGCCATAAACAGAGTAACATTTTTAAAGTACTACAAGAAAACACTTTGATCACTTCCCTTGCTTACAGGATAAAGTCTAAGGTTTTTAACTTATATAACCTAGCTATTGTTTAAATTTCTTGTCATCTTCTGCTCTAGTTAATATTCTATGGTGGTGTGATACCTTTTGCTTTTATGCAGGCTCTTCTATGTGAAAAGCCCATCTATTCTTTTTCTACTTAAACTGCCTGACTAGCTTGACCACACAACTCCCCTCCTCCTGTGGTTTAACCTCCCTCTGTACATTATCTATTGTTGTATTTACTATGTTAATGTGTTCAAATCTCATTTTGATACTGGTTTGATTTCTTTTAAGACTGATCATTAGACCCTAGTACCTACTGTAGTGCCTACTAAAGTGGATTCTGAAGAGCTTTTTTTGGATAAATTAGTTCCTATAAAAGCTTAACAATACTCAACCCAGAAATTTAATTATCAGGGCCCACTAATTTCTGTATCTCACAGTTAAGCCTGTGATTAATTTCGTCTTGTTGAATAATAGGTAGAGCCTTTACTTTTCAGTCCTAAACACTCCTGTCTGACAGTGATGTTAAACTAGGTCATCTCTCTAATAATTTCTAACTATAAGTTAAAAAGAGTTTCCTGGGATAAGCCTTGAGGCATGGAGGTTCATTTTTCCCTTCCTGATTTTAAATCCTTTCCTTTGGGATTAATGAAGTGAGTTACTGGCTTATTTTTATTCTCGACATATTAGTTACCCCATTCTGAAGCCCATTTCCAGTCTATAAGTCATAACTTTTTACCTAAATTTTGTTGTCATCTGATTCTGGTTAGTCCCTGGTCCACTCAGCACTAATTGACAGGGGTGATTCTCATGGTTGGTTTGAGTTTTGCTGAAAGAGAGGAAGAAGTAGCCACTGTGTGTTTATGTTTATAAACTGGGGGGACAGTTTATGAAAGAAAACTGGAACAACTCCCACCCCATAGCAGTGAACTACATTTCTTTATGTATACTATAATTTCATAATGACTTTCTGCCTATCTACCCTTCTACCCTATGCTTTTCTTTCTCATTGCTGTTTCATTTTTTTCTTTTTTTTTCATATACTTTGAGTTTTAATTTTTTAAAAAGAGTTCTTTGTAAGAGTAGATGATGAGAAAACATAAAAGAAGGAACACTGAAAGGAAAAAAACATGTCTAGGAAACACCAGCTCTTTTATGAAAAGCAAATATAAGCTTTCCCTGACTTCTATATTTAAATAGATGGTACACAGTCAAAAGATCTGAATCAAAATCTTCTGCTCATAAAGGGTCTGCTCATAAAGAGCATTGGTCCATTCAAAATACATATTCACGTTTAAATAAAATCTAAACTTACGATTTCAGCATATTATTTCTGGGTTTATTTTCTCCACTTATGGTAGTGGCATAACCTACCTCTTGGCAAGTACTATTTACCTGTGGTATTTGTTTTTCACACTCGCTGTCCCCATCACACATCAAATTACTAGAATTAAACCAGATTTTTCTAACAGTTTGCTGTATGATTTTGAAGAAATAGTTTTAACCTCTAGAAAATAGGATCTCTATCTTCAAAAAGGAATAGATCAACAAATAAAACTATTGTGTTAATCAATTTGGGCTGCCATAACAAAACACCACACTGGATGGTTTAAACAGTAGAACTTTACTTTCTCCCAGTCTGGAGGCTGGCAGGTCCACATCAGAGTGACAGCATAGTCAGTTTCTGGTGAGATCTCTCTGGCTTGCATCTATCACCTTCTCACTAGTTCTTCTCATGGTAGAGATAGCGAGTTCTTTGGTGTCTTGTGAGAACACTAATCGTAGGATTAGGGGCCCACTCTTGTGGCCTTAGTCAACCTTAATTATCTTCTGTAGGCCCTATCTCCGAATATAATCACAGTGAGTGTGAGGGCTTCAATTTATGAATTTTTTTTTTGGTGTGTGTGTGGCGGGAACATAATTCAGTCCATAGTAGCATGGTTAAGATATGCAAAGTTACTTAGACTTTTTTTTTTCTTTAAAGATCCATTTTTTTTTTTTTTAAATTTCATTTTATTTTATACAAACACTGGTACAGTCAGAAGCGGGAGGGTGAGAGAATCCACCAGAGCCAGAGCGGGGAGCAGAGCAGGCAGAAGGACCGAAGTATACTGCCGAGGGGAGCAGCCGGGGATCGAACCGTTGCTGCAGAAGCCGCGGGCAGCCCCGCAACCCAGCGCTCAACCGCTGTGCCACTGGGGAGGCCCTACTTAGGCTCTTAAATTCAAAATTCATTAGCATTATTCACTTTGGATGCTAACAATGAGATTGAGACCAGGAAGAGGCCTTGACTTATTTGTTCTTGACCTTGTGTTCCTATACGTGACAAATACACCACATCCACCTATTAGCACTGAAATGAATACTTTTGAAGCTAAATGCAGAAAAATGTAAACCTTTGGAACTTACAGTCAGGGCTGGACTTAAAGAATGGAAAGGAAGACATATCAGCGCCTTAATTAACGCCCATTATGGGCTAGGCAGTGGGGAAAAAACAATGTTTACATGGTTCCTGACTTAATGAAGCTTACATTCTAGGTAGGGATAGGAACGAATTATTTCAACAGCTTGAATAAGGAAAATAAGTACCTGTGTTCTATGAAAGGTACTTAACCCAACAAGCTTCCCCGAGGAGGCAATGACTAAGTAAACTGAACCACAAAGATTAGGAAAGAGTGAGGCCGGTTAAGAGGGGCTGCGGTACAGGTGTGGGGGGAACCAATTTACTGGTGACAAGACGGGAGGTGGGACTGGACCGTTAAGTGTGGACAGACCTGGCAAGGTAAGTCGCTGTTCTCACAGCATGGCTACCCCCGCCGAGACTGCAAGCTATTCACGCACCAGCGCCGCTCAAAGAGCCTCAGACTCAATTTATTTTGGTTTGTGGCCCAAATGAAGCATACGTCTTACATTTTTTCTGTCAGGTCTCCATTTTCAGGTCTTTTTACTTTTCCCTTCTCAATCCCCGTCCCTGAGACTTCCGCTGTCTCTTCAGGTGCAGAAATCAGGATGACTCTCTCAGAGCAGCTGGGGCTGAACTAGGGACGCAGTCGCTTTTGCTGTGCTGAGGAGAAGGCCCAAAGTAACCTGCTACCGTAGCCCGGCGAGCAAAAACGACTAGAGTCCGCGCGAGGCCTGCGCCTGTCGCCTTCTCGGCTCGCTCTCTCCTTGGCGCGCAGCCTCAGCTCACGCCGAAGCCAGCGAGGGCTTGATTGACAGTTGGGCCCGCCCAATCCCAGCGCTGCGCAGGCGGTTCTCGCGTCAGGGAGGGAGGGAAGGCGGAGACAGCCTATCAGATTGGAAAGGGAGGGGGTTTCCTGCCCCCGCGAAGCCGCCCGGGGCCTAGCGGCCAGCGAGCCCCGCAGCCCCGCCCGCCCGCCGCGCACGCCCCGCCCCTCTCCCGAGAGCGACGCGGCGGCAGAGCGAGGCCTCGTGCCTAACGGCCATCGCGGCGTCCGCGGCGGCGTCCCGGTGCCCTCGTCAGGTGAGCTGCAGCCGGGTGAGCCCCGCAAAAGGAAAGTAGACCGCCTTCCCGGCTGCCAGACGGACGGACAGCCGCTCCTTTCCCCGTGCGTCCTGACAGCCTGTTACTCGCTGCGTCGCTTCCTCTTCCCTGGCAAAGTTAGCCCCGGGGGCGCCGTCTGCCGGCCCGGAGCTGAGCCGGAGGGGGCGGGGAGGCCGCTCGGCGGGGCTGGGGCGTTTGCGCGGCGGCTGTGCGCGACCCTCCGGCCGCTGTCCTGGCGGCGTTGCGGGCGGCTTCCGTGTCTGTCCCCCGGGGGCCGCGTCGGGGAGCCCGGGACCCGCCGCCCCTGCGAGCCTGAGAGGTCGTGTGTGGGGCGCGCGCCCCGTTTCTTTCCCTTCTGAAAAAGTCCTGTTGCCTGCTGTGGCGTCATTCAAGGCCGGGAAGGTAGGAGCGCGAAGGAGGGAAGGGGCGCTCTCACCTTCGGCGGGGAGAGGGGTACCGAGGCGAGCCCTGAGCCCGGCGGGGATACACACCCTCGGGATGCGCCCTCCCCCTCCCCCCCAGCAGTTCGCTCCATTCCTGGGAAATCTGGAAATCTGGCTGTTATTTTAATCTAAAGGATGGACCTCTTTTAGTTTCGTCCGTTTTAGTTGCTTGGGCTGTGAACTTTTGGTATGAATTGTAACCTAGCCATTAAAGAAATGATCTCGATAGGTTGCTTTGTAACCTTACGTGTTTCCATAAAAGTTAAATTTGCCCTTAGAAGCTCAGGGACTAGATTTTATTTATGACCAAGAACCGTAACGGTATAGGAGTCCAGTTAATGCCGAACTGATGAGGAGAGCGAATTCTGTTAGATTTGGTAAGCAACCCTAGGAATTAGGAAAGAGTGAAGTTTTCTAGCCACCTCAAGGATGGGGAACAGAGTCAGAACGGGTGTTCCAAGAGTTCTCCATTATTAAAAATGTTCCTTTGGTAGATGTATGAAAAACCCACCGTCCAGTTTATTAAGCACTTGGAAAGCACTGTAACTAAAGTCTCAGTCTTAAGCGAGGTCACTGAATACATGGGGGAATTGTATGAAAAAGAAGGTTCTGTTTGCTCGTTTGGTAGTTGTCGGTTGTCAGTTCTTACAAGCATCCCATTCACAATTTGATAGTAATTCAAGAAGTGTGCATTGATTGATTAATAGTAGTTACAATTGCATTTTTACCAAAAACTCTGCGATTTTCATCTCTGGGAAAACAGTGATCTGTAGGAACTGGTTATCTCTGTAAACACATTTTGCAGAATGTTCAAGTTTCCTCAGCTGTTCTTGTTCACGTATTAAATTTTAAGTTGTCTGCTATTTTTTTTTTTTAGCATTAGGTTTTGCTCCACATTTTACCAGTGCTTTTAGGTTCATTTAACTACTATTTGAAGCATACATAGGATGTTTTGTTGGATATTGAGTGATACTTTACGTACGTTGCTATATTTATTTTTCACAGATATTTAAGAACTTGACTTGCCACAACTCAAGGCAGATTTGATGTGGTCATTATTAGTACCGGATGACTTGATTTAAAAATTACAGATGCAGTCTATTTTTTGGTCAGAGTTGAATTAAATTTTACAATTTACTCACTTAATATGGAAAAATTACCAAAACTTCTCTACATACACCAGAAGACTAAATGAATATTTAGCTGATAAGTAAAATTGGTGGAAATTCTTGTTATTACTGAGCATTTAACACATTCTTCATAAACGCTTTGCCTTGCTCATTTAGAAGACAACTTACAGGGCCCAAAGAAACATTTAAAGGTTATTTAATTAAGGTAACAGTTCTGTCAAGATGATCCTCATTTAAACTATTTCAAAGATAAAGGTATACAGTCTTACCTTCAAAAATAATTCCATGTGCTTTGGTGATGTTACCATGCTTTCAATTACCTAGACACAAACTTTTTTTTTTTTTAAAGATTCATTTATTTATGCATACATGAGCTGGGATACAGGCCAGAGATGTGGGGAGTGAGAGGATTCACCAGAGACAGAGTGGGAAACAGAACAGGCAGATTGACTAAAATACACTGCTGAGGGGAGCAGTGGGTGAGACAGGAGAGGTCTGCTGCGCCATGTGGGTTTCTCTCTGGCAGGCCAGGGATTGAACTCATGCTGCAGAGGCTGCGGACTTCTTCACAGAAGAAGTCCTTAACCCCTTGCACCACCAGGGAGTCCCACAAACTTTGGTTTTATTTTTGATTTCCTCCATCCATATAACTTAACTTTGATCAATTTTACCACCAGTTTTGATATTTCTTTCAGATATCTGTCTCTTTCCACTAGCTTTTATCTATTATTTTTTAAAAAGATTTATTTATTTATTTATTTATTTATGCAAGCACTGGGTACAGTCAGAAGCACGGGAGGGTGAGAAAATACACCAGAGCCAGAAAGGGGAGCAGAACAGGCAGACCGATGAAGTACACTGCTGAGGGGAGCAGCGGGCGCAGCAGGAGAGGTCTGCGTGCCATGTAGGACCCTTGCCGGTGGCTGGGGGTCGAACCGGAGGCTGCAGGCAGCTTCACAGCCCAGCGCTCAACCTCTGCGCCACCAGGGGAGGCCCTTTCCACTAGCTTTTAAAGGTAGGTTTCCAACCTGCCTTTTTTCCCCCTGCTCTGTTTGTCTTACCTGTTGCTTTAATCTTAAAATAATGCTTCAAACATATCCCTCACTGTTAAACCAGCCATAGCTCCCTGTTATCCGTAGACTGAAGATCAGGATTCCTTTTTTAATAGTCTGCTCAAAGCCTATTTTTTTCTAATGACAGTACTCATTTCTCTGTAGGAGCTGTCTAAACCAATCCCTTACCCTCATGTATTTCTGTTGAGATATAAATTTTCTATTTTTCTACCTTTGTATCTGTTGAGACTTCGAATGCCTATCCATGGACTGCCTATTCTTTAAAAGGAATTTTAGCCTCTAGATTACTCAGGTAACAAATGAGGTCAGATTTTGCTAAAGTTTCATTTTTGGTCATTCACTGTAGGCTTCTAGATCTTTCTATCCTTGTGTTGTCGCTTTTCTTTGAACCTGTAGCCCTTATTATCATTTCTTTGGTTTTTAATCTTACATGGTCTCATATCATAATACTGGAACAATATTATGGGAATGTTGGAATCCAGTGTTCTGTTTTGTAGATAAGGAAAACAAAATCCATGCAAAATAACTGCACTAAAATTTACACATCTAGTGATTGAGGAAGAGCTGAGACACAAATCTTGAATATGGTAAGGTCTGTGTATACTTAAAATTTTTTTTCTATGAGTTTATGAAACTGTTCTACTTTTTGTCTCATGAAGCGTCATTTTGTATTGTTTGCTCCACATACTTTGTGTTTTGTGTATTTAGGCCTTCTTATATAGATTAAAAATTTCTATGTGGGGATAGGGGACCTCATGACTTGTATTATTTAAACTGTTTAAACAGTGATTGAAAGTCTGCAGTCTTTTCCTGTGCTTGCTAAGATATGTTAACAGTATTAAAAATAATGTCATCTCTAGTTGAGCTCCATTAGAAAATGAATAAATTTCTTGTAAGTTTTACTGCTGGAGTTCAGTTTATCTCTTGATAAAGAGACTGAATCTCTGGGGTCCTTGGATGTAGATGTGAACTATGGTTTGGAGAAAACCCAGAGGGCTTATCTTTTAATTAAAATTAATAATTGAGCTAAGAATTCCTTCCTTTTGAATGTTAGAACATAACACTTTTTGTTTACATTTTGCTACTTTCTGTCATTTTGTCCATCTGTCAAGAACCAGATTATTGAGCAATCTGCTTATTAAGCAGAACATTCTGAAAATCATTTGTTTCATCTGGGGAATTAGAGAACTTTTTTTTTTATATATTTGTTGGTCTCATTTATTTCCTCCTCTTAACGCTAAAGTTTGTTAATAGCAGCAGCATAGGGTTGCCTTGTTATTTTTTTTCTAACATTCCTACCAAGAATTGAATAGTGTCAGACAGGTAGCACAGAAAACTATCAGGGAAATACCTCTGGAGGGATTACTTACTTTTCTGTTCTGAAACTATTAGAAACTATTGACCTTTCATTTGTTGGTTAAAATGACTTTTTATTTGTTTAAATAGGTTATCTGCTAAACCAGTGTGTTGAGACAGATTGTCCTGTTCCTTTTTCTTGAAACTGTGTTTAAGGATTGCTGACTTGGATCTTAATATGGATGAATAATTTCTGCTTTGTTCAAATAGAGCTGTTGAAACAGTGAGAATATGAATTCGGGAAATCTTTTTTTTAAATGGGTGTATCTAAAAAGGTTTTATTTTTTTAAGAATCTGCCTTCCAAATATTTCATTACATACTTCCAAATCATATTGCATTTGGATCATTTCAAATAGTAACTATAACAATTCAATAATAACTCCAAAGAAATATTCCAGCTACATTACAGAGATGTTATATAATTAAACAAGGCATTGGAAAATTTGCTTAGAAGTGCTTGATCACATCCCCATACTGTATGTACTTGAGTGATAGTGTTTTTGAAAAAATTATTTTTATTTTATATTATTTTTTATAAGTATCAAAAGATGACACTAATTTTTTTTTAAGATTTATTTATTTATTTATACAAGAACCGGGGTACAGGCCAGATGCGCGGGAGGGTGAGAGAATTCACCAGAGACAGAGCTGGGAACAGAACAGGGAGACTGAGTGAAATATACTGTTGAGGGGAGCAGCAGTTGAGACAGGAGAGGTCTGCGGCACCATGTGGGACCCTCGCCGGCTGGTGGATTGGCGGCCGGGCAGGGATCGAAGCGGTACTGCGGAGG